CCAGGGAGCCCCGGATCCGAGGCTCGGGGCTGGGGATGCGGCCCCCGCTCCACCCGGGGATGCACTGGCTGCGCAGCAGCAGCCCCCCCGGCGTCGAAGGTCGGTGGCGAGATGCTCCCCGGTGCTCTCCCCATCGCCCCTCGCCCGTGTGTGTGCGCCTCCGTGCGGGGCTGGGCCAGGCTGGGCCCCTGGACCGTGCCTGCAGCGGCCGGGCTGGGGGACAGGCTGGATCCGTGGCGGGGGGCTTCGCTATAGACCCATCCTACACCCCACCAGTTTCTCTTTCCCCAGCATAGCACCGCTGGTCTTGAGAGCATCCTCAGGGGACGGCAGGCGCGGAGGGTTTGTTGTGCTTGGCAGAACAGCTCGGTCGGGACCAGGCAGCTGCCTCGGACCTGCCGGGGTGGCAGCACGCCAGGCTGGGAGAAGGCATCAGCAACGTCCGGGGGTGGCCTGCCCTGCTGCCCCCAAAAAGACCTTTTTGCACGTCCTGGGACCTTTGGGTCACCTCTCTGTGGGCAGCAGGTTGGGCAGGGGGGAGGAACGCTGGTGGGGAGGAGGGGGCTGGCCTGGGTGTCCGGCCACGCTCCCTTGCCTTGGAGCACTCTGCCATGTGGTGTTGGAGCAGGTTTCGCGTCGCAGGCCAGGGCTGTGCGGTGTGACGAGCCCCGGAGAGGAAGGATGCGGCCGTGAGTGCTGGTGCATGCAGGCAGCCCCGGGGGCCTGTGTGGGGTGAGCGGGGTGGAAGGGAGGGCAGGAGGAAAGCCCTGCGGGGGCTTGGTGTTAGCCCTCAGGAAGGGGTTACGGAGGCTCCTCTGAAAGAGGGGCTGCTGATGCTGCGGGGTCCTTGGGTCCCCTTCTCCGAGCTGAGGTGCTCTGATGGGCTGCAGCAGCGCGGTTCACTGCCCAGGCCCGTAAAGCCCTGCCTGTAGCAAGAAGAGCTGTGCAGCAGGCGCTGAAGCGTACTGCCAGCATACCCGAGGAGCAGCAGTTGGATGGTGAACCCAAGCGACGGCCACATGAAGCACTTTGCGTGCTTGCTCTATGGAAGCCCGCGTGTCCCTGCCTTTGGCGATGCTGTCTGGGGAGGCTGCAGGCACGTGGCTACGCCGCACCCTCGCTCCCGGGGTGTGCAGGCCTCCTGTGGCATCGCTCTGGCCAGTGTGGATGGTGCACGGCTCTGGGTAAGCACCCGCGCTCCCGGGGCACAAGAAGGCTGAGATGGTCACGCTGGCTTCAGAGCCAGGCTGGGAGCGGAGCTGGTTGTTGCCTGCCTCTTCCAACCATGGGGCAGCGCACTCTGGAGTACAGGGAGGATGCAAAACACATGAAAATGCTTTGCGCCCCTCCTGCTATGAGACTTGATGGTACAAGGGTAGCACGGGGGTGCAGATGGGTCATGCCAAACATGAACCAGGCACTGCAATGAGCAGTGCCTTCTCATGGGAAGCGCTTGTCTGTCCTGCTGGGTACATGGGAGCCAGCAAATGCTCTCTGCACCTGAAATCCTCGGTGTGCATTTGGGCATACAGGTATACAACACATCCACGTTGAGCATGTTGTATCTTACTACCTAGGAATATTTTGCAGCACCCCTTTTCAAGTTCGATTTTCCACGTGGTGGGTTTAACACAGAGAGCAAAGATACAAGAATATTTCTCTGATCCTTAACACATAATGATTATTTGGGTCATTCTGTGGCCTTTTTTCATTTCCGTGCACCACAGCAAGCTCTTAAAAACAGATTGTGAAAAATACCAACGTGAAACCATTCCAATCTTCTGCTCCCAGCAGAGGATGCCGCAGGGAGGAGGAAGGACCAGACTGTGGCAGAGAAGTTCATGGCTACCCCAGCCCCAACCTCTCCCTTGGAGATGCTGCATTGGGGCAGACACAACGCCCTGTTTCAGCAGTTTTGGCTTTGATGCCCAAAGTTGCGGTGCTTCAGACAGTTTGAAGTTGGTGGTGGAATGTCCTGGTGCCCTGGATGTCCTTTGTTCCAGATGGAGCATAATTCATCTTTATCCAAACTCATGGGCCAGTAACACAGTAGCTCGCACTGCCGAGGGGCTGCGGTTGAGCTCTGTGCTGCCCAGGGACCTGGGGTGGTCTGGCCACGTTTTAACGTTGCTTCAGCAAACAAAGCCCAGGATGAACCATGTTAGAGGAGGGCTTGGTACTGCAGGAACGTGTGGTTTAGAAATGCTTACACCACGAGTAGTCTGCATATTTCTGAGTGGCCTTCCAGCGTGTGCGGGGAGAGGCAGAATCCTAGCTGCTGTATGGAGTACGGCATGGATCTGGGTACAAAAGGGACTGCACAGCATGGCTGCCTGTGGCAGCAGGGCACCGTGCTCACGCCCGGGAGGGCCCTTGCAGCCCTGCATGTGCCTGTGGTGTGCTGATCTTGCAGATGCTCTTTTGGAGCCAGGATTTGCTGTTTTATGCTCGCTCTGCCTGCTGTGGAGCTCCTCAATGCTTCCTGATACACTGGGCAAATCTGCTCGCCCTTCAGCCCTGGACGAGCCGGTCTCTGTGGAGCCAAGCTGCTGCTTGTGGTTGCTACGTGCTGACCAGGCAGCACGCAGGTGGGCTGTTAGCCCTGCTCGGGTGTTTGAGTCTGGGGAGAGCCCTTACTTTTGCATCAGGGAGCACAGCTGGGCTTTCCTCTGCCAATAGGTACAGCTGATAAATGACCAGATGTTAAATGTCTCAGGCTGGGAGGGTGGAGGTGCAGGATGTGGCTCTGTGGCAAAAGCATGCTTACTGCTAACCCAGAGAAACCCGTCCGTAACCAGCCAGAAGAGCCAGCTGGGCCCTGCTCGTAATGTGCTTCTAATAAGCTTAAAGGGGAAGCTGTGCAAACTGTCCTGCATATGCTGCGTCCTTTCAATGTTAAATTCTCCAGCATCTCCGGGGCCATGACGTTTCCGGGCGCGCTAGGGTCCAGCCTGATGGATCTGGGGTGCTGCCCTGGAATAGCTGGGCCTTTTGGCTGGGCTGGCTCTGGTGCTGCTCCAGCTGGATTAGGTATAAGGCGAATGGACCATTTTCTTTGCAATTAGCAGGATTTGTTACTTGCTCACACAGCTGCAGTTACAAAAAGAGGAAAAACCTTACGACGTGATTAATTTAGGATTAGCAAAGAAGCGGGGCAGAGCTTGGTTCAAATTGCAATTAATTACCGAAGCAGCCAGAGGATCAGAGGAGTCTGTCTGCAGTTATTGGGATGTTGGTGTCTGCAAACACTGTGTCCTGCTTCGTGGAGCCAGCGGAGGAGCTGGGGCCTGTCGTCCCTGGGCACTGTCCCTTGTGTCTTTGACCACGCTGCATCTCACAGCTTCGCTGGGTCATGCTGTGCTACTCCCACGTTCACTGAAGGGCGAGGCTAATTCAAGCAGAGCTTTAATTTCTTCCTCCGTCTTTGGGGTTAGAGTCATCGGTGGTCAGCAGAAAGACGATATTGCAGCCCCCATAATGCCTTCCCCTTTTGCCACTGTGCAATAGTACCAGGCTCAGATACGTAAGGAAAGGCAAGCTTCAGCCTCTGAGACTGCCCTGATTATCGCAGCTTCAGGTGCCTCTACAGTTTGTCTGTAATACTAGGTTAAAGCTTATATTTTAAGCTTTATTCTAAAGCTTCTTTTATTTTAGCAAACCGAATGCTAAATACTCGATTACATACTTGGAAACAATTACAAAACAAAACCTAAAAATAAGGAACACACACTTAATCATTTCTGAAACTAATCTCTTCCCCAAGCTGTCATTTAGGATTTCTCTGAGACTTCTCTTAGCAGCTTTAGCTAAAGGCCGGCTTGGCAGAGGGCTGCCTCCACGGGTCGGTCAGGGCAGGCCCTTCACGGGTGACTTTCATACCAGTTTCCCT